AACCAAAACTCGCAAAACTGACCGCCGCACACCCCTAGTCTGGCAAACAACCTCACGAGGTCTAAGTGAATATGGGCCGAGTTTGTCTGGGTAGGCAGAAATTAATATTTTGTTCTCCCCCATTTTAGTTGCACTGAATGAATTCTCTTCTTAATTGTTAATGATTGCGATGCATGGGTACAACATAATTTAAGAGGACAAGGACATATGAAGGGCTTGGTAGATGAAAAGGAAAGGGTTGAGTAAGGCAAGTGTATGAACATTCTTCGATTCTTCAATTTCAGTCACCTTAGCTTCCCAAGACTTTGATCCAAGTAGTCTATTCAACACTTTCTCCACTACTTCCACGTAGGAATAATAATAAATCTTTCCGAGAGCCTTGAGATCGTTGATAATGTCCCTAAATTGGTTGGACATTTTTGCAATAGATTCTTCAAGTTTCCTACAACTTCTTGCAATAACACTTGCCAAGGCAACAACCCTTCACTAAAAGAAATTGTGGTTTTTCCACGAATTTTCAACGGATTTTTCAGATGAATTTTTCTGACGGATTTCCAATGGATTTTCCAACCATTGTAAATTTTTTATGGAGACAAAAAAATTTGTTGCCTCCAAATGTTCCAACAGGTTGGAAAGTAAGAATATTAAAGAAAATTTAAAATCCAGTATATTTTTCAACGAAATTTTCCAAGGAAAATTCCGTCAGCATTACTATTCTGTAATTTTTTTATTTTAAATGTATTAAAAAAATTTTAAACTTTAATTAATTTTTTATAAGAAATATATTAATAAAATTGAAAATAAACATACTAAAATTTATAATATTAAAAATATAAAATTATATAAAATTATATTATTTTGACATTGGTATCAAGCAATAGAGTTGCATACTTTTGAAAAAAAATTGTTTATGCTTATTACAAAAAAGTAATTACTAATTTACAAACTGATAAATGTAGTTAATAATTAATAAATATTATATTGTAAATAAATAATAAAAT